ATATATATATATATATATATATATATATATATAATAGTCACTTTTCCTTAACTCAACTTTTAATCTCTCTTCAAACGTTGTTTATTTTATGTACCCTTAATATTCCAAAATTAGCTATATGAATAAAAAAAATTATCCAACAATGTTATGATGCATGATAACGGTGTTACTAATATAAATACATATTTTTATTTTACTAAAGCAACGCCGATGAGGAATATGTCAGGTTAACCAAATGGTTTTCGAAGGGTAGTAAAATCGTGTTAACCGAACTGCTGTGTGTGTTCTAAATACGTTGAGTAGATAAAATTACTATAAAAATATTTAATTTTTTCAAAAGTTATTTTTAGCGTTACCAATAGTTTTAATCTCTGAAAAATGTGTCACCTGCGATTGCAAAACCCGTTAGAAAAAGCAACATCGATAAGTATTACCGCGGTTTTTGATTAAAACTGCTGCAATTTCTTGGGGTTTCGAGCAACCGCTAATATTTGTACTGATTTTGTTAAAACTGTCGAATTTAATCAAGGTTTTATAAAATTGCTAAAAATGACTGGGGTTTGATAGAAATTGCCGAAAATGATCAAGATTTGATAAAAATCGTAAAAATATCAGGGTTTGGTAAAAACTGTCAAAATTGAATGGGATTTTGTAGAAACCGTCGAAAATAACTAGGGTTCGCTAAAAATGACTGTATTGAGCATCACCAGGTTCCCAATCTCCATATATGTGCTAGCTTTGATATTACTGTTAGATAATTTTAAAAAAAATATTATTACTTATGATTCTTAACGATATTATGTTGTGTAACTAATTAATTGTATATTTTTTTGTTAAAACTATTGAAATTTCAAGTTATTACTTAATATTATATTATCTGTAGTTATATAAATTTTAAGAGGATATATAAACTCTCTCTGCTTTCCAACCTTACAATACAATCTCTCTCTGCCTCTTGTACGTACCCTGACATATCATTTGAGTTTCATGTCAGAGCAACAAAATCTTGAACGAAGATGAAAAATTTGACTTATTTGTTGCTTTAGACATCTAGAAAAGTTTAATGGAAAGAGAATTAACACTTCTTAAGTATTTAACTTTGTCAATGCACTCTAAAATTATAGAATTTTCATTTCAAACATCACTTATCTAAAAAGAAGATAATTGAGTTACAACTTGAGTTACTCTACTATACATGGTGTGAGATAATACTTTACCTTTCTTTTACATTTTGCTTTTTATATTTATCTGCATCCAATCTAAATTTACCAAATATATATGGAAATTAAAACACGTATGTTTATATAAGAATGAAAGACCGAAGCAGGTGAATGAAGAAAAACATGTTATTATTTTCTTCCTAAAATGAAGAAACAAAACAAAAAGAATAAAAAAACTATCGAAAAAGAGATTGAAAATCTTCAAACAAATTAAAAGTTTCAAATAAAAATTTGGGAGTTTTCGAATTCACCTTGTAACACAATTCACTGAACTACCCACCAATCTAAACAAGGCGTCAAACCCTAAATCAAAAATTCAACTAACAACCACGATATTGTCAAACTCTTAAACCAATCATCCAGACAGAAAATGTTCACCACCACAAGGACACAAAATCTTCACAACCATCAATAGAGAAAACGTTTTCAAATTGTTCAATCGAACAAATTTCAAACCAATTATCATTTTCTATTTTGCTCTTACATCGTTGTAAAAAAATTAACATGGCACGTGTCGGTGCTCTTTTCTTCCTAAAATGAAAGAACAAAACAAGAAAGAATGAAAGTTTCTTTCTAAAATGAAAGAATAGGGATGATGATATAATAATGGAGGATTTGATCACCAGGTTAATGTGGTGTTCTTGTGCTTATAGTGTGGGGGCACGCCATGGAAGCAAGGAACCCCAGTAGCCCGAACCCAATCAAGTCCATGAAAGAACTTGGAAGGTGAGAACAAACGTGCAGCTTTCGAATTGAGGTTCAAAATCCCATTCCAATTCACACGTTTGGATTTGTCTGAACCAGGGCCAGTGTTGTGATACTCCGCATAAAAGCAAGTATCCATACCAGTAGGTCCATCTAATGTTTCCCATGCCAAATATCCTTCACCTTGAATCAAGTCATCGATGTACGTATCCATGAAAATGGTTCTGGAGTATGTCTTCCATGGACGAGCTAGGTAAGCTTTGTTAACAAATCTTACTGGGTAAAAATCAGGGTCAGCCACAATGTAACCTCCTTGGATCACTATTGCAGACGGTTGTTCTTTCTCTTTTCTACCTTGTGCAGTCACAATGCATTGTTGATTTTCCATTGGCTTTCGGATCACGAAAGTGCAATTCTGGAAAACAGCAAGTGCATTTCCGAACACAAAGTCGATGGTACCAGAAATGGTGCAATCCCTGTAATACTGACGCAGGGCGTGTACGTAAAGTGTGTCTTGATACCCATCCATTGAACAATTGTAGAACACAGACTTGTCTGCTTGAACTCTCAATGCCACTGCCTGATGCTTCTCGGCTCCAGCAGAGTTCTCAAATCCCATGTTCATGCCCACAAAGTTATCTCCTTGAATAGCTGCACGAATATCGGTTATATTTTTATGATTTTACTCTTAAAAAACATTTTTCAATTGGATTGGGTTTATAATTTTATGATTTTATCCTTAAAAAACATGAAAGAAGACATACCGACTGTGGCAGTTTTATAGGTGGTGACTCCATCTA